TCTCATTTTCAATCCTCTGAGAAAAAAATAAAATAAAATATTTAAACTTCTATTAAGCTTTTATCTCAGTCGAGGTGCAGGTTTTTCCCAGTCTCTGTTGGTGTGACTCGTTGTCGCTGCAGAAAAAATGGAATCGAGAGGCCAAGTTCAATCTCAGGCTGCAACTGATGCGTTCTCCTCACCTCGCACTAAATACCATGAATCAGTCTCTCCTCTACCCGCTCAACTATAGTTTCAAAGAGTAGAGTAGTCCTGGTATAGCAACAAGCCTAGGGGTACGAGGACTCTGAATTCATACCCCACCCCTGCCAACACACAACTTGTCATAGGCCAATGTGGCAGGATAAAACTCATTACTTACTATGACTGACAGATTTGGAGAAGGCCTGGAATCTGTAGTAGACTGAAAAAAAAATGGCTTACACACAAACATACGTATACAACTTACTACTAAAAAAAATGTAATACTGATGTGTTTTTTAAAGCAATACACACACACACACACATATACATATATATATATATATATATATATATATATATATATATATATATATATATATATATATTCAAACATTTTAAGTATAACACAACGTAACAACTGCTTTGAATACATGACAGCAGCTACGATAAACTGGGATAGAAGGGTACAAGAGGATAACCAATACTCAGAAAATACCTTCGGTCTGCCTACCGTATGTGAAGGGATTATCAGAAAAACACACAAGATCTGTAATATATATATATATATATATATATATATATATATATATATATATATATATTATTATTATTATTATTATTATTATTATTATTATTATTATTATTTCCAAACTAATAGCTAGAACATAGGCAATCTACAGGCCGGCTGCTTTTAACCATAATAACTGGTACCTCGCCGGCCATGGAAAACGGCCGAACAAATAATGATACACCGCCCCTTTGTCGATGGTGTTAACCTACTTTTTCGCACTCATGTAAAAAAAAAAGGTGTGGGGTGGGGGCGGAAAGTCAGGGTTTTTGACTCTCCTTAAAATAAATAAGGGGTTAACGTGCATTTTTGAAACATTTTTCTTGTGTAGCAGCAGAGGAGCTTTTTTGTATTATAGGAAATATATAGAGGGATTTTTCAGAGCGCCCATATCGCTACCGAATGTGACACAAAATCAATTTAAATGAACCCAGCCCTTGGGCGGGGGACTGAGGCTTCGGCTTAATATTGTTTTAAATTGACCCGTATCGGATATATATATATATATATATATATTAAGAAATGGACAAAGTCCGACAATTTATTTATTAAAGACATTTTTATGTTTAACGTTCTTTTTTTATAGATACAAGTATTTAAGTAAATGCTCTGTTTATAATAAACAGTATTAAATAACATTTACCGGCCTGAATGTCGAGAAATTTTCATAGAAAATATTCGTCCTTTGATCTTCGAACCTGCATCTTATACGAAACCGTCATTTACGCTGACGTGCCTTACCGACCAGCCACAAAGGAGCGTTCGGTAGACAAGGTCGAATTTACTGCTTATAAACTTCAACTAATAGGATGCAAGTTCGAATCCTGTCAAAGGACGAATATTTTCTATGAAAATTTCTCGGACATTCAGGCCGGTAAATGTTATTTAATACTGTTTATTATAAACAGAGCATTTACTTAAATACTTGTATCTATAAAAAAGAACGTTAAACATAAAATATTATTATATATATATATATATATATATATATATATATATATATATATATATATATATATATATATATATATATATGTCTGATAACGAAACGAAAGTAATATATATATTCTAACGTTCATAGCATTAATCCAAAAGTGGGCTCGATACCGAGAGTAAAGCGGTAATTATTTATTATAATTTTATCATATAGACAATAACAGTTTTTGTCTATATGATAAAATTATAATATATATATATATATATATATATATATATGTGTGTGTGTGTGTGTGTGTGTGTGTGTGTGTGTGTGTGTGTGTGTGTGTGTGTGTGTGTGTGTGTGTGTGTGTGTTAAGACACGTCTCATTAAATAATTTAGGCAAGTTTTGTCTACTTATTTTAATAGGTTTCTCTCATAAATGAATGGAGAAATTTCTTAGTATCCTTATTAAAGGAAGAAAGAAAATAATTGAAATAAATATTACTTATCTTTCGTTTAAAATATCGCAGAAATATATTTTTTTAATACGGCGGTAGGTGTTTATTTATGGTGTTCCCAGTCATATCTGTAAAAATTACTTGAGGAATATAACGTGAGCATCTTTTTATATAATTTTTTAACTACCCAGTAATGTTAAAAAATTTAGGAAAATATTCTGCGTAACATAATATTTTATTGAATTTTATGTACTTTGGCTTTAAATTTATTATAGTTATCGCTCTTATTTTTAGATAATTTCGTGTATGGACATCCGTATTTACAAAAATCGGCACGTTTATACACACACAAAAAAATCAGAAATCTTTTTAAAGTACTGGGGGTCGCTAAATTGTAGTAAACTTTTCCATTTATAATTAGTAAATATAGTTTTTACTTAATAACAATATCACCTAACCAGTACAAATTAATACAGAAATTTAACAAAATCTTTTTTAAGACAATAGTGTTCATAATATATCTTATTCATAAAAGCAATCAAAAGCTTTTCTAAGGAAATAATGTCTTAGTTTTATTGCGTTTTTTTTATTTATTTTACGATTCAGAACAGATTTTACGTAACTGCAAGCCCAGGTTTACAAAAAAAAAAAAAAAAAAAAACATATATGTAGGGATGGTGCCTAATTATCAGGCGTTTTTGTACGTGTTGTTTGTTAAGAAAAATTGCTGTTTTGTTGACTTTTTTTTTTATAAATATATTTTATTTAGGTTATAAAATTACGTGTCGATAATCAAACTTATTTAAAAATGTTATTGTTGAAGTGTTATGGTTCTTCTTTCATAATAAATGTTATTAAAAACGCCTGATAATTATGCACCAGCCTAATATATATATATATATATATATATATATATATGAACAATAAAAAATATTAAAAAATTAAAATCTACAGACACACTGGGTTGTAGATTAATATTCTTTGGTTTTTTATTATTATTATTTCATTTAGATTCCGCGACTAGTTTCGGCCAAAATGGCCATCATCAGGAGAAAAAAATATTTCTGTTTGCTGGTAGCAGTGAACTACAGAAATGAATGTCTTCATGGAGAAAATGAAATTTTGTCTGTAGTTTTCATTTGTTTTTTTAATTTTTTTTATCTTTTTAACATGAATCTTTTAACATTCCTTGTGTTGGTCAAACAGTCTCTTTTAAGTTGTTATTTGAGATAAGAGCTGAATGGATCTATGCTGCTCTGAATTCCCCTGGTCAGTTTGACAGTTTTATTGGTCCTGGAGAGGGGATGCGTCTCTGTTAAGTGTTTGTGTGTGTTATTTGGTTCTTAGGGAGTGAGTGAGTATGATATGTATAAGCGTGTATATTGCTGTGGGTGTGTGTTCTCATTTGGCTCATTACGGAGTGAGTGAGTATGATGTGTGTAAGTGTGTATATTCGTGTGTGTGTGTGTGTGTGTGTGTGTGTGTGTGTGTGTGTGTATAAGTGTGAGGCCTCAACACCTCCGTAAGCATGTCTGTCTTGTGTGGGTGAGAAATGTGGGTAGGTTTCGATTTGTAGTGTTATATATTAGTACTATCTATATTGCTAAATTTATGGTTTAGCCCGGCTGGATAGTGTGTTTTTAAACGTATCCACTTGTTTTCAGGGAACTCTAAAATCTTTCTAATGTTATCTGCTCTGAACTTTTCTATTCTCTCAATTATAGTGAATTTGGCATGGGTTTTGAAATCGTGTTTTTCTAGGCGGAAATGTTGTCCTACAGGTAATAATAATTTTTCATGGGGATTCGACTTAATTTGATTGCGACAATTATTAATTCTGTAGTGAAAGGGCCATTCAGATTTTCCTACATATTGTTTCTGGCATAGTGTGCATTTTAGGAGGTAAATTATGTTATGACTTCTACAATTAGAGTCGTGGTAGATTTTGAAAGTAGATTTAGTGACTGAACTAGTGAATAAATTCGTGTGTTTAATATGGTTGCAGCATAAACTTTTTTTGTTGTTACATGGTTGGGAAAATCCTATTGTTTTTGTTCTTAGTTTATTACGGATTACCTTGTCCCCTGAAATGTGGTTACTACCTATGATTTCTTTTAGGTTCTTAGGTCTACGATATACTAGAAGGCCGGGTTACTTATACAATTTTTTTTAGGTCTGGTTTGAGATGTAGTATTTCCCAGCGACGTTTGATTATTTGGGATAGTGACGGCAGAGTGGGGTTGTAAATGGTTACTAGAGGAATGCGGTTAGATTTATTTTTAATCTTGTACATTAGGGTGTCTTCTCTAGATGTGGAAATTGCTTTATTTATTTGTTCCCTGATTAGGTGTTGTTTATAGCCACGTGTCGTGAATTGATGCTCCAGATTTTCAATGTGTTTATTTAATTCTTCATTGTTGGAACATATCCTTCTGAGTCTAAGTGCTTGTGAATAGGGAAGGTTCTCTTTGAGGTGTTTAGGGTGGGAAGACTTAAAGTGTAGATAGTTGTGGGTGTCGGTGATTTTAGTGTGTAGTGTCGTTTGTAGTTTCCTGTTTTCATCTATGTAAATGCGGGTGTCTAAAAATGTTACTGATGTTGTCGATTTTTCATAGTCAAACTTAATTGAGTCGTGCACTGTGTTTAGGGTCATAAGGAATTGGGTAAGTTTGTCATCACTACCCGTGTATACAAAGAATATATCATCGATATATCTTGCATAGAATACGCAGTCGCTACCAATGAGGGGATAGATATGGGTCTCCTCAAATTTTCCCATGAATATTGTAGCATATATGATATTTGGGATTGGCCAAAAAATTCGTTCGGTTTATTAAGTAAATTTTGAACTTTTACACCATCTTAAATATAAATGCTTGACAGATCCCAACCCCGTTTTTGCTTCTTTCTTCCAAACATTTTTCCGCTCTTAAATTTAAAAAAAAAATTTATTTTTATCTTTTTTTTCTTTTTCACCCGTTTCTTTTATTCATTTGATTATCACGGTGATTATTACTTTCTTTTCATCACCGTGGTTTTATCTATCTATCTATCTATCTATCTATCTATCTATCTATTTACTCGGGTTTTTAAATATCTAAACCTGTTACTAGCTTTATCTCTTTCTTTATATATAAATATGATTGTGTATCTATCCGCTTCATTCGCTTTACAACTGATCATGTCACCTATCTATCTATCTATCTATCTATCTATCTATCTATCTATCTATCTATCTATCTATCTATCTTTTTTAAGCAGTGACTGTATATTTTTTGTTTTCATTTATAGTCAGAGTTTAATTTCAATTTTATTTCTTTTATGGTAAATTGATATGCTTTCTACTTCCTTTCTTTCTGCCAATCTGAATGTCTTTTTTTCATTTTCTCTCTTTTCGTGCTTGCTTTCTTTCTGTCCAAGTAAATTTATATCTTTTGTTGGTTTGTATATTTGTGCCTTTCTTTTTCTATAGTTAATTTATATTCTTCTTTACTTTTTTCATGCTTACATTTTTCTTTATCCCTGTCAATTTATATTGTTTGTTTGTTTGTTTGTTTCTTTGTTTGTTTGTTTCTTTCTTTCTTTCTTTCTCCCTCCCTCTTTGTTTGTTTGTTTCTTTCTTTCTTTCTTTCTCCCTCCCTCTTTATTTGTTTGTTCCTTTCTTTCTTTCTTTCTCCCTCCCTCTTTATTTGTTTGTTCCTTTCTTTCTTTCTTTCTCCCTCCCTCTTTATTTGTTTGTTCCTTTCATTCTTTCTTTCAGTCATAGTTATTACATTATTTTTTTCATTTTCAATTTCCTTCCCAGTTAATTTATATTCTTTCTTTCTTTTTCATGCTTACGTCTTTCTTTCTCTCTGTCAAAATATATTCTTTCTTTTCTCTCTTTCTGTTTCTTTCTTTTTTCTTTCTTTCAATCATAGTTATTTCATATTTTTTTTCAATTTCTACGACGGTTAATTTATATTCTTTCTTTTTATCATGTCTTATTTCTCTCTGTCAATTTATATTCTTTCTCTCTTTCACTTTTTTCTTTCTTTCTTTCAATCATATTTAATTTATATTCTTTTTTTCTTTTTAATTTTTTCACAGGTAATTTATAATCTTTCTTTCTTTCTTGTAGTGTTCAAGCCAATGTAAAATGTATCCTTATTTTAAAGCATATATTCTGGCCCATTAGATTTATAATATTGGCGCTACGCAATCTCCCTACTCTAATTTATCTAATTTGGCCTTATGCCGTACTCTTCTAAGCTTAACAAATATCAATAAGGCCCATGGGATTTAGAATGATGCACTCGCCCACTGAGGTTGTGCTAGAATAGCGAAAGCTTTGAAATGGCACTCTTCAGGGATTCCGAAAAAAGGTAGAAAAAAGTAAGCAAGGGTTTCTTTTTCTGAAGATGGATTGAATTATAAATAAGGAAGTGGAACGCATTCATTTGGAAAAGAATCTAGCGAGCTAGTGAGAGGGAGAGGTAAAGAGAGGGAGAGAGCGATGGGGGGTGGGGAGGGACATAGACCCAGTTTCACAGATTAAGAAATGGTGAGTGGAGAAAAAGTAGATATAAAGATGATAAAATGAGAGAGATGTCGATTCGTTAGATTAAGATGTGAATACAAAGAATGTTGGTGCGAGATGAGCGTGAGATTTTTTAATGAACAGGGAAGGACTTCACGCTTTGTAGCCTAGGATTTCATGAGAGAGAGAGAGAGAGAGAGAGAGATCGAGATCGAGTGAGCGAGAGAGAGAGAGAGAGAGAGAGAGAGAGGGCATCATTGTTTTTATGTGAATTAAATTCTGAAATAGCCCAGCTGAAAAAATAACAAATACAAAGTCTTGTATACATTCGTATATGGAATTCATTTCGTTATCATTTGCTTCTTACATATCTATCTATCTATCTATCTATCTATCTATCTAGCAAGCAAGCTATCTAGCAAGCAAGCTATCTATATTTGCATATCCTATTCTTCCTATCTCTCTATCTATCTATCTGCATTCGCATATCCTATTCCTTTCCTATCTATCTATCTATCTATCTATCTATCTATCTATCTATCTATCTATTTAAAGCCTTTGACAAAGTTCGTCTCAAACAACATTAGATATGCAGATGATACAGTGTTGACAGTAGCCACCGAAAGAAAACTACAGGAACTCTTACCGAATGTAGTAAAGGAAATCGAGAAGAAAGGACTAAACATCAACTGTAAGAAGAAATATGGGAAGTGTTTTAACAAAACAGGGAAAATGTGACACGGAAATCCGAAGGCGTATTGGAACATCGAAAGATGCATTGCGAAAGCTAAACAAATTAACAGGAAAATTTAACTGGAAACATCGAAAAGAGGACTGAACTTTTATTCAATATCGGTCCTTTTATACGGCAGTGAATGCTGGACAGTCTCATCACAGATAGAGTAGAGACTTGAGGCAACAGAAATATGAAGGAAGGATGCTTGCTATCTATCTATCTATCTATCTATCTATCTATCTATCTATCTATCTATCTGTCTGTCTGTCTGTTATGGGATCTTACACATAATAATAATAATGGACTATTCCATACTTAATAAATACTGCACCTCAGGAGTAGGCAAGGAGTCATTAATTCAAGTCGAGTCAGTAGTTCAAGTCGAGTCAAGAGTCGAGTTAGAGGCAGTCCGAAACAGAGTTGCGTTCTGACAATTACTGCAAGACATTGGAATAGTGATACTGGTCGAGACTACATTGTTCTCTCTATTAAACCTGATTGTTCATACTAACACTTTCTACTTCTCTGTATATATTCCTGTTTGTAATATATCTGTGTTATTCCATATCTGCGTTTGAGTTCTTTATTGGTTCTACCTTGGACTATCACCGTGGTACAAGGACCCGGACCATAACACTATCTATCTATCTATCTATCTATCTATCTATCTATCTATCTATCTATCTATCTTGGGATATCCTATTCCTTTCCTATCTATCTATCTATCTATCTATCTATCTATCTATCTATCTATCTATCTATCTATCTAATATGTAAACAAATGTCAACAATCATAAGAAAAATCATCAATTAAATACTGAATACAATTTACTGTGAATCTCAGTAAAAGAAATAAAAAAGCAAAATGTATAGCAGAATCGCTACAATAAAGCTAAATGTGGTCCAGGATGACACCTACTTAGGCACTTGGCTTGTCAAGATGAACAGAGAAATGGGCAATAGACTATCCAAGGATAATCAAGCCTTTGGTAAACCACACAAGAACGTCTGGGGAGAATGAATCGCCATGAACGCCACAAAAATCAAAATCTAAGAAGCCATCGTTCTGCCCAACTCTGTATGGTACTGAATCGTATGTCATACCTGCGGTTACTTGAACGTTTTCACAACATCTTAAATAGTTAATTGAAACGATTTTATACTGAGATTATTAATTCAGCAGTAGCTACGAATGATGAAAACAAAAAAAGATTCATTAGAGATCAACCATTCCTTTGTAATGTTTTTGTTGTAAGACATTTGAAAACACTTGGAGAGGGGAATCGCTATGTTGTTTAGGTGTTTCACGATTTAACAAGAAAAAAATTATTCGATTGTATTTTCATCTGCGATTCTTTCATCAAACGCAGCAAAAATGACCAGTTTTCTTAAAAAACGGGCGATGAAAAATGAATGTTTTACAACAATGTGGAGCGAAAAAGTCCTTGTGGGAAACGAAATGAGCCAGAGTTAACCATAGGTAAAAGCTGGTCTGAATCCTAAGAAGGTGATGTGGGATCGGAACTGCATTGTGTGTTACGAGCTTCTCCGCAAATACAGATGTTGGATTCAGATAACTACTATTTTCATTTGGGTCGATTAAAGACAGCATTGAAATCAAAATCATGAGAACTCTTATGTAGCGAAAGAATCATATTTTAAAAAAAATATTATAATATAAGCTCAACTTCTGTATGGAGCAGTGTCTTCTTAAAAATAAAAGCAAAAATACTAAGGAACTCCGGATTATTTACCTAACGTGTTCCTTCCTATTTTTTTGCATACTTGCCACACACACACACACACACACACACACACACACACACACACACACACACACACACACACACACATATATATATATATATATATAATTTAATTTAAAGAAAACAGACCACTTTAAGGCTCCATTAGTTATAATTTATTTCACCAGAGAATTTCTATTTTTCTCCGGATCTTCAGACTTCACTTTCAAAGTTGAAACGAAAAATGAATTTAAAATTTACACTTTTGAAGGGCAGTATTAAGCTTATATAAGGTGACATAGAGGGTGGTTTCTCTCTCTCTCTCTCTCTCTCTATATATATATATATATATATATATACAGAGAGAAAGAGAGAGAGAGAGAGAGAGAGAGATGAACGGAATGTGATAGATAGCTAGATATAAAAAGACTAAGGTAGATAGATATGAACAGACTTAGATAAATAGATAGATAGATAGATAGATAGATAGATAGATAGATAGATAGATAGATATGAACACAGATAAATATGAACAGACTGAGATAGAGAGATAGATATATATGATTAAACATGTAGGAAAATCTTTATAAATTGAATGTTTTGCTATTTATTTAGGTTCTTTCCAAAATTTCTCGTGAAGCTAAATAAATAGAGTAATATGTTAAATTTATAAAGATTCTGCTACTTCTGATTTAAACTTTTTGTCAGATTTAATCCAACACACACACATGCACACACACATGCACACACACATGCACTCACACACACACACACACACACACACTCACAGATGCACACACACACACACATATATATATATATATATATATATATATATATATATATATATATATATAAAATATATAAAAACAAGCGTTTCATATATTCAGATGTAAATTGTTTTTTAATTAAACCATTTCCATTTTTGAGCTTATGTAACTTTTTAAAGCATTTTTTTAAAATCGCTACGGAAATTTTTAATACTGAGTCTTCAAATCCATACTAAAAGCTTATTTCGAGAAATATTTACCCGAGGAATTAAGACAAAAAAGAAAAAAAAACAAAAAAACAAAAACAAAAAAGAAACAACTGATGTTCTCATTGTCTTAGAGCAGATATTAAATAAAAATACGCTTGCTTTTTTTTCTTTATCATTCCAGTAAAATAGTTTTGTAAGCATTTTGGATAAATATGTTCAATATTTAAAAGTTTTATTTAATATCAAAGAGCTTTCAAAAAGCAAACAAACAACAAAAAAAAAGTAATCGAAGATCGAAGAAAATCAATTTTCTAAAAAATATCATATTGGTTTATTTATTTATTATTTTTAATCTAAAGATTCACTCGCAACTCTTTTTATAACAGGAATGGTGGGGTTGACTTAAGCCGTATCTTTTTTAACCCATATACTAACGTCAGTTTAAACGTCCGCCATCATTTTCAATTTTTTGCCTCCAGTTATTGTGACCGTTTTGTTTAAAGATCACACTTTCTTGGTTTTAGATGAATAGTTGGAAAATTTCCAACATATTTCAGTGAAATTTTTACTTTCTAAAATTATAGTTTATAATTCTAGTTTAGAGACATGTAAAAAAAAAAAAGAAAAGGAAAAAACGTGGAAAAAAGTTTAAACTGACGTCAGGGGAGATATAGTTTCTTTAATCTGACGCCTTCTATATATTTTTTTCATATATTGTGAATATTTTGCTTAAAAATCGGATTTTCTTGATTTCAGAAGAAGACTTGGAACTTTTCCAAACTATTTCAGTAAAATTTTCATTTTCCAAAATTATAGTTCATAATTCGGTTCTTGTACGATCACCGAAGTTAAACAACGCCGAACTTGGTCAGTACCTAAATGAGTAACCACCAGGGAATACTACATGCTGTAAGCTCGAATATGTAGTGGGGTTGCTTTGGTTTGGTTTGATTTACGGCATATCAGCTTCAATGGGTCATTTAGTGCAAACAAGATTTTTATTGCTGGTAATATTTTCCTTTTTTTCAAAAAAGGTATTGTTGGTCATATTTTTTCAAAAATGTATTGCTGGCAATATTTTTCTTTTTCAAAAATGTTGGTAATAATGTGTTGCTGGTAATAATTTTTTTCTTTAAAGATGTATTGCTGGCATTAATTTTTCAAAATGTATTGCTGGTAATATGTTTTTCCAAAATATATTGCTGGTAATATTTTTCATTTTTTTAAAATATATTGTTGGTAATAATGTATTGCTGGTAATGATTTTTTCTTCAAAATGTGTTACTGGTATTTTTCTAAAATGTATTGCTGGCAATATTTTTTTTATAAACATGTATTGCTGGCATTAAAAATCTATTTTTACATTTTTATAGTGTTTTGACCCCAATTTGGGGTTAACTATTTGCTCATAGCTGGGACCCTAACAGGTGCTACCACCCCGGGTGAGGGTGGATTTGAAAATAACAGCAATTAAGAGGTGGTCAATATGTGGGTGGTGAAATGGATAATGATTCGGAATTGAAAATCGGACAGCCAGTCGGGTTCGTTTTATTTACTTACGTGTAAATAAACTTGGGAAAAGGCATGGACCCAAATCTTCTCTCCCCAGCTATGGGTTAATTATCTCAAAAAAATTTACAATCTAAAAATATTTTCTGTCTTTAAATAACCTGTAATAAACCGTAAAAAATAACGCAATTAACCAATCAATGTTAAAAAAGAAGTCATCAGTTTAAACTGATACCAAGAGGATATGGGATAAGGGTTAGTTCTTAAAGATTTTTATGCAATATTTTTTTTGTTTTTGTTTTTCTTACAGACAGTATTCTCTTCTCTTATTTACGGGTCTTTTTTCTATTTTCATTTAGTTTATGTTTCATTTCGTTTGTGTCAGCCACAATAACAATTCCCAAGTGCTTTTTACTCGGGTGCCTTCTAACTAGGAAACACTTTGTCATCCACTTCATGTCTCAAAGCAAGCGAAGAGAAAAATCACTCAAACTTTCTTCATATCCGATTACCCTTGGGCAGAAAACAATAAAAAAAAAACAGTTTATTTCGTCGTAAGGACCTATAAAAATTTTGACCAGCACAGTGCTTCCCTGAGTGTTAGGCCATATTCCATGATTTATGTTTCTCTCACATTTTGAATTATTTTAAAAACATAATTCACACAATGCAAGACAATAAGACATAAGGGCTTCAGGAGTGTGAAAGAAAACCAGAAACATTATTAAAGAGCGAGAACAACCGAAGAGAAATCAAGAAAACAGTAGATGACGATTGACATTGCATTTACATTTGTGAAAATTTTAAAATTTGCTTTTATACAAGTTTAGTTTTTTTTTTTCTCACATTGTACCGGCTTCACGCAGAAATAGTTCTGGGGAGACTTTTTATTACTCATTTCATCCCAAGTAAAGCAATAAAGCCACTGAAACGCAAGAGATGTTAGAGAATATGCGAAAACTACTATTAAGAAGAGAGGAAAATAAAAGAACAAGAAGACAGATGATAACGATTGTCATTGCATTTAAATTTTGGAAGATCGAAGTTGACTGGAAAGCAAGAAGCCGGAAGAGATTTCCACAAAGGAGAAGTGTTAGAAAAGGTACTGTTAACATAGAAAATACGATTACATCTACCCATTTCAACTGTGACTTTATGAGACCTTACTGCCAATCTAGTACTGCGCTTAAATTCATAAAATCGAGATACCAAAGAGGAAAGCTCATCACAACAATTAACATGAAAATGCTTATGGAAAAGGCACAGGAAGCAACATTATGGCGGTAAGCTTTCAGAGTTTGGTGGACAATGAAACATCAACGGGATCGGTCAGCAACACAACCTTCTTCTCCATTTGGTCTCATGCACCAGTGAAGGTTAGCTTTTATTGCGTCTTTGTACTGTTTATTTGGTCGGCTATGATGTCTCCTGCAACATAGCAGCTCTCCTTACAGAAGGCGCTTGGGAATGCGATATTGCTCGATGTGGGTGACGTGGTCAGTCGATTGGGCTTGTACATTCACTCACCTGTCTTGATAGAGTTC